TTTTTGATGCATTTCAATTGCTGCTGTAGCCAAATTCCTGAATTTCTTTGTTCAATGTTAGTAAGATTGTTTTAATGGGAAATATGAGAAGATTTAGGACAGGAGAAAAAAAAAACCTGTTCTCATGCTAAAAAACAAGACTAGCTCAAAAAGCTAAATGTCATTTTACCTTGCAATCTACTTACACTACCAGCAGCTTAAAATATGCAGTGTAAACCTGAAAAAAGGGGAACTCATATGGTACTATAGATAAAAAGTGAGCAGTGTGAGATGCCACTGAAAACATATGAAATACTAGTAAAATTATTCTACAGAATGATAATGTAATATGTCAGCGGGTGTGGGAAATTAAAATGTATCAAAAATTAGGAGGAAACATATCAAAGTGAATTAACATGTACACTTTCAGGCAACACTCTATTGAATTTTGACGCTAAAAAGCATATGTACCATATGCTTAAGGGAAAATTACTCATATTTTTGACCAAATAAACTTAGAAATCACTATTGTTATTATGTTACTAATATTTGATATCAAACAAGATATTCAAATCATCTATCCAAGAGTTTTGTTTGAAAGCTATATTGATAATCAAATGAAATAAAATACTAGTTATAAGTATAAACTTGGTACATATAATAAAATCCTAATTAAAATAATAAACAGCATTTATTCAATTTTTATCTCTTTATAAATTTGTTCTCCATGTTACTACAAATATAATGATTAAGTTACTATGTCATAATTCCTGAAAACTATATAATATCAAACTATAAAGATATAATAGCTTTACTATGTATTCTGAATTAAAACTGTATAGTTTATTGCCTACAAAAATGAAAAACCCAATAGCACTTACCAAAAAATTGTTCAAACATTATAGTTTTTAAATATATTTTTCCTATGACTGTGTGTGTACTCAGAATAAACAAATAGGACAATTCATGTTGCATTTGCTAAGTCACTTAAAGATACATTCCTTCCACACAAAAAATAAAGGGCTTAAATGCAAATAAAAGTTATACCATTGCAGAAAAATTTATTCAAAGTCAATGAATAGTACTTAACATGCAATAAACATTATTCAATATACGTGAACAGACAGAATGAAAGAGGTTTTTGTCTGTGTTATCTTTACTCACCAATTCTAATATTATCAGAACTTGGCACAGGGGATTCAAGACAGACAATCATGAACTTAACTATACCAAGAGAAAATAAGTTTCACTGGCATCCTTCTCAAAACTGCCAGAATTCAGAAGCTTAAAATGTTGACCTACAGATTTAATTAATAAAACTTAACAGGCATCCCACCCAGATTCACTTTAGCAACTCTGCAAAAAAAAGGCCACTTATAGACAAGTTTAAAAAGACAGCATGGGGGGAAATGGGGAACTGTAATATTTATTGCATATGCATTATACATACAAAACAATTTGAGTATTTGTTTTGCTGAAGTAATGAGCCAATATGTTGCTGAACCTGTCTTGCATGAGAGAAAATAACAGGTGAGTTTATTTAATGCATACTTCTGACATACCTCTGTTTTACAAATAATTTTAATGATATTAAAGCATTTTCTCAATTAAAAATAAACCTCTGGACAAAAACAACTGTTTAATCACTCATTTCAATATATCCATAACAGATACATATCCCAGTATATATGGCATATAAAAATGTTTCACATTAATAATTCTAACACGAACCACTGTTTACTTTCTTTTCAGCTACATTTGTTACACTGTTACAAAAATACATGAATTTTTACTCCCAAAGTAATTTTCTTATTGCCAAAAATCATTGACAATTTTTAAAATAAAAGTAAGTCAAAATAATATCAATCCATTCCTAAAAACAACATATTCTGCCTATTTAACTATTTTTATCTTGATTACAAAACACTAAGTTTTAAAATAGATCACTTGAAAGTAAATCATTTGTTTTTGCTTAATATAACAGAAAACACATATATATTTTGAGGAACATTCTACAAAATTTCACTTGCTCCAAGTGAAAATCTAGTCTTCTGCTCAAATCATCTCCATTTAAAACTCATATGCCACATTTTCATACTCTTTCTAACAGTAGGTCACTAACTATAGTTTAGTGAGAACTGGGAAACATAAAAACACGTATGCCATGTTTTCACACTCTTTCTAATAGTAGGTCACTAACTGTAATTTATTGAGAATTGGGAAACCTAAAAACACTTCCGTGTTTTACCTTGCATTTGGATTTCAAAAGAAAAAATTTTAAGTGCACATTCTTTATTTTAATGGAAGTTCACTGGTTTATCTACCAACACTTATCAGACATTCTAAAAATGAGTGTTCAATTTATAAAAGATACGAACTGACCCTGAGTTTTAGACAAAAATAGAAAACAATGGCAGACTTTTTGGTCTCAACAAGAGATATCTTGGCATAAAAATCCATATAATATAAGCACATACTACTCAAAAGTTTCCATTCAAATAATAAGCTGTGAAGCAGACAAGATTCCAACCAATCAAAAATACTATGTCAACATGACCAAAGTTAGCAATATTCAGAAGGGTTTTTTGCAAAGTGTGGCAAAAATGCAACTGCAAAGGAAATCTTTAAGAGAGCTGGAAAAGGCAAATTTAGCACCAGCATCTACAAGGAACAAAGCCATTTACTAAATGTGGAAGTTCTTAAGAGAATGATATTTATTTCTATTTCAGAAAAAAAAAAATTTTTTTCACAATGGTGGCCTGCGTGAAGGAATGAGGAAGACAAGAGCGAAAATAAACGGTATAAGTAGGAAAGACTAAGGCTGCCTTCCTTCCTCAGTGATGCTGTAAGGGTAGACCCTCTGCCTTACAAAAACCACTGCCAGAACCAAGCTATACAAAACATTTTGGCTGCAAGCCTATAACAGTGCCAGGCTGTTTTTCATTTTTGTGCTAGACTCCCTCAATTGAGACAGTGTGGGATTGTCACTCTGATGCACATAGAGAACAAAGAATAATATAGTGGGGGGGGTGGAATTTTTTTGCCCCTTTAAAGTCAGGTTAGCATTTTGTTTTCTTTGACAGGTCTTGAAAAGACCCAAGAAACAAAAGTTATGCTGAAGAATGCATCAACTGCCTAACAAAACTAACACTGAGTACAATATTGTCACAGTTTTCAAGTCATGTGAGGGATTAACATTTTTAAAAAATCAGACTTTAGGGGTCCAAGTCATATAGTTACCTGTTTCAGATGCCAGAAATCAAGAAATACATGATTCACAATCACATAATCTTATTTAAAATCCGATACTATGAAGGCAGACCATAAAATCTGGCCCAAAAAAAAAAAAAAAAGAATATAAGTATTACAAATTTTAGGTCACTATTCAGAGATAACTGTGTTAGCTGTCATTATGACCTTGATTTCTCCAAAATTAAATAATCTGATGAAAAGATTATAACATTAGAATATGAATATTTTATGCCTTCACAGGGAAAGAGGTGATAAGTGATCAAAAATGTTTAAAGGATTAAACCACACATCGTCTAGAAAGCTGCCACAGACACAAACAGGAAAACCGTCTCTTCTATCCTATTCAATTCTGTACTAAAAATGAAGCTACCACAAATGAAAAAGCCAAGTATGTGCTGCTGCAACCTTCAACTAAATATACTATCTGAATCTGGTGACTAAAAACACCAATAAGCCATTAGCTCCTAGAGGTATGACCTTTTTCTCTCTAATGCACACGATAAGTAGAGGTAGAGGTCCATTTTCTACGAACCAAATGAAAAGAAAGAATGAACTGTGACAAGCTCTGATCCCATGCTGGCATAGTTTACACTAAGCTCAGCATCCTCTAGAAGCAGTATGCTTCTCCCTGCCAATCAGAGCGAGAAAAAGTTATGCAACTAATACAGTGTTGATAAATAGCACCAAAGGTCTACAGTCCCTTCCTCCTGCATTTCTCCATTGAATCAGCTGTTAAAAGAAGACCAATGGCTGTTACACAAATAGCAAGAACTAAAAGCACTTGCCTCAGATGCTACACATGGAGGCATGGAGCATTTACCACCTGAGCCTATCTAATTTCCGACAAAATGATCCCCTGCCCAGTTTTGTTCACGGCCACAGAATCTGATAACAAGTCACGATCAGTGCTGGGAAAGGTGGTGGGAGTGAGAACACGGGGAAGAAACTGAGTGAGAACAGTGGTCAAACTTCAAACAATACATACACTTCTCTTATTATTCAAATTTGCACCCCTGTGCAACACTTTAGGATGACAAAAGCTGTGTTAAAGGGTTCAGGTAGAATGATTTACTTTGGGTGGCAAGGGTAAGTCTGCCATGTAATTAAAGAATGTATTATTTTGCTGCTCACTGTTCTCCTTTTACATTTTCCTCTTTCTCTATGATATACTGCTGATGCTATTACCACATGGGACACTGATGGTTGTAGGCGAGGCATTCATGTATTGCCAAAGTGGTCCAGAGAATGATGTCTGGCTGGCTTTAGTTCAACAAGGAACATGAGGCAAAACCAGAAAGCAAAAAGAATGAAAGTGTAGAAGAAGCCAGGCAATAGGCTGTTTTTTTCTGTTTATTAATGGTGCAGATGAAATAGGGGGAAAATCTGGAAAAAGCAGCCAAGCTAACTCAATTACAAAGAAAGATTAAAGGAGTTAAATGTCTATAACTTGGCTGACAACCAAGGAACAATATGAGAGCTGTCCACAACTCTCCAAAGTATATACATAAAAAGAGGAGTGGAGAATTTTTATCTATTATAGAAGTGTGACTATATGAAATAATAATCAGATAAAATTTAAAAGAAGAAATCTAACTTCAAGCAACAAGGAAATAATCTGGAAAAATTTCAGAAAGGCTGCTTCCTTCTCTCTAGAAACATCAATCATCTTACTGACCCACATTGCAGTAAACAGTACATGATAAGAAATGCCCACATACAGCCCAAGGACTAAATTGATGGAGATGTAAAAATGAATCCCATCTGCTTACCTGATGATCCAGATATAGGGATGTCTCTTTACATACTTCCAATCTGGCTAATGCAGAGGTACCTGTGAGATCACAACGGACATAGTTAAGTTGTTACCTTCAAAGTAAGCCCAACCTGAATTCTGAATCCTAACCCAGACAAGAGCTGATTTGGATGATCTAGTCTGGTTCATGGACATTCTAAGGTGGGAGAAGAGTGTGCAAGATCGGAAATGTTCTGAATGATTCTAAGGTTTTTCTTAATTAATAAGAGCTTTTTCAGTCTTTCCAGGGATTCCTCAAATCAATTATAACCCCCAAATCATATAATAATGCAGATTGGAGGTACTTAACCCTGCTTGATGGATGCCCTTCAGGAGTCTGTGCACTCCTGAATGATATAGTAAAATTTATATTTTTATATAAATGGATATCTCCCTGGGAAGAAGGTCAATAGTTTGTCAGTTTTGCAAAAAGGTCCATAATCCAAAAAACTGTCAAGACCTTCTACTGAGGATTATCTAAAATCTCAGAGGCAGGTCAGAATACATATGGATATTCAGTCTAGGTTTAGGGTTTCCACCCCAGGGAAACACAGACACTTGTGGGTCTGGGGTAAATATCTTAAGAACACTATTTTCTGGGAGAGCAATACATCAGGTTTAAACTGTAACTTAACTCATACAGCCCCTGATCCCTGCAAGCCATGCACAGTCTTGAAGATAGCTAAGATGTTATATCCATATACCCAACGGTGGATGCTGTGACTTTTCCTGTTCTATATGTATTAAAGTCAGGATCCTTAGGTATATCAATTCTGACGGGGTCAGACCTAACATAGTAACTCATCCAAAAAGGACCATATATGACAAGCAAAAAAGGAGGTATTACCAAAGCAATAGGGCTACCAAACAGCTTATATACCATGAAATTATAGGATTAGACAAATATATGCCTTAAAAGAATTATTTTAAGCAATAATCACAGAATCAGAATAACCTATATCAGAAAGAAACCAGGCTGGAGAACCTTCCAGGCACCAACTGTGAACGAGATGGGAAAGCATTCACAGTCACAGAGAACATCCTGAGCTGGGTGTCACAAAAAAAAAAAAAAAAAAGATAAGAGAAAGGCTGAAAAGACAGAAATCAAGTAGGAGGGAAAAATTACCTTTTGAGATAGCCTGTTTCAAATAATGATCATGTAGTATATTCTCTCAAAAAATAATCTATTTAGACATTTACCTACTGAACATCTACCAGGCATTGCGCTCGGTGCTGAGAATTCAGCAGTGAACAAGACGAACAAAGCCCTGCCATGCTGGAGCTTAATTCTGGGGAGCAGGGGAAGGAAGCAGGGAGACAAACAAGTATATTAGCAATATCATTTCAATTTGTGATACATGATATGAAAGAAATAAACAAGATGATGTGACCAATGCATGAAAGAATGGCCTATATCTATCTCGTACATCACAGAGATCTTCACTCCCATTCTCGGAGTCAGTCAGGGTCTTACAGAATTGAGACCAGGAAATGACCTGTCTGGGTAGAGACAGCTAGCCAGACCTGTGCATTTCAGAGTTGAAAACTGGATAGCTATTCTGGAAGACAAAGTATCACTACCTCATTATCTCCACACTTCAAAGGACACACACCTAGACTGAATAATAATTTTATGATACAAGCTCTGCTTTTAGAAGATATGCCTGAGAACAAGAAACTGAACAGCATTTTTTGTAACTCTTTAAAAACTGGCCCAGGATACTGTATGCTTTGTACCCTTAATACAAAGAACCATATTCTATCCAAATTCTTGTCAAGTTCCATTCAATTAAAAGAATTTCATTTTTTTGTTTCTACAGGCAAATGTCATTAATTTATGCTGTCAAAGGTGGGGAGCATGGCAGCCAGCTTCCATGGAAGCCAGCTTTCAAACAGTCCACACCTCAGGGAATTCATGCTTTTGTGCAATGCCTTCCCTCATATCAGGGTTGGTCTGAGTGATCAACAGAATGCAGTGGTAGTGATGGTGTCTGTCCTAAAAGATATTGCAGCTCCCTCCTTGCTTTCTTGGATCACTCATTCTGGGAGAAACCAGTTGCCTGCTGCCACACTGTGAGGACACTCAAGCAGTCCTATGAAGAGGTTTACATGGCCTGCTGCCAAATAGCAGAATCAACTTAAGAGCCATGCGAGTGAGCCATTTTCTAAGCAGATCCTCCAGGCTAGTCAAACCTTCAAATGACTGTTGCCCCAGCCAACATTTTCACTGCAACTCATAAATGACCAAGAGCCAGAACCACCCAGCCTGCACTCCAACCCTTTTCTGGCATGCACTCTAACCTCCTATATTCCAGAGGCTTGAAAGCTAAAAAAAAAAAAAACAAAACTACATTTCACAGATGTTCTTGCATCATGCCTTCCACAGTGGACCAGGTTCAACCAAATCCAGTCAATATTCAGAAAACAGAAGTGAGCAAATCAAGGTGTTTGCCAATTACAATGAGATCAAATCTTATAGTGAAGGCATTTGTTCTTCTGAGACAACCATGTAGATATTCTACTAACGGATCCTTGGTATTATGGTTCAAAGTAGCAAGTGGCAGCAGAGTTTCTACTAGAATAATATCATGGGGTGTTTCTTTTGGATTGTGTTGTTCCTAGCTAGTAACAGTCAAGTTTGGTTCCTTGGCACTTCTGGCAATTAAGTTGCATGTAACAGAACCCTGTATGCTTAAATTATCTAACTGTATGCAACTTAAACTAGCTGTTGCCTGCAACTAAGAACCCACTCTATCATATACAAATTCTCCTATCTCATAACACTTGCATTCCTATCTCATGATGGACCCTCTTCTTTTCCATTACTAATCCCTCTACCAATGCACTAAATCCTCTTCATTTGTGCCATTTCTAGGAACTTGCTCCATCCGTTTTCCCCTTTTCCCTATCTTCCATCTTTTTCTCTCCACTGTTTCCTTCTCCTTCATCGATAACACACTTCTTTCAATCTTACCCCCATCCCTGTCAAGCTTCATAAAATACTATAAGCTCATTGTCTTTACTTCAATTTCCATTCAATGTTCAAATGACCACAACTTGGTCTTCTTTAGCCATCACTGCCGAAACAGCTATTGCTAAGGCTGGCAAGGACCAAACAATTGTCTATTTTCATTCCTCACTTTACAAGACTGTGGCATTTGGCATTCCTACCTACCATATGTCTTTGAAATTTTGATGATAACAAGATTACGGACTTCCAGCCAATGAAACAATCTAGCATCCCATCTTCACACATCATCATCACCCCTGTCCTCTGCACCTCCAACACCTGAGAGAGATAACACAATAAACTTGCATACAGAAGCCATTTCAAATGCTTGCTAATGCTGTTCAACTATTCTACCTCTTGAGAGCCTCAGTGCTTAAAGACATCCAAAAAGAAAGATATAAGCACTTAAAAAAAAAGTGACATGGTTTCTACAAGCTATTAATATGAAAATATATTTCATAATTTTTAAGCTATTTAAGGAAAAATAAATCTGCTTAGAAGTCAGACATTCAAAATGGTCAGTAATGTAAAACACGTGTATGACTTCTTAAAACAAACTTCCCCAAAACTAAAAGTCCAACTATTGCTATTTGCTTAACACTTACAAACTAGAATGCCTATAACTGCCAGCCTAAGATAGCAACCCTGAGTCCTTTTCTTTTGAATGTAGGTGTTCTATGACATCTGTCATCTCATCAACAAGAAGTGATGCTGCTAACTTGACTGGCCAGGGGGGTGACCCATTCCTGCCTCCCTGGCCAAAGGAGGGCCTTCCCTGTCAAAGCTGTAAACTTTCTAGAGGCTGACCTCCCAGAATGACATGAACCCAGCTTCCATGGTCAGGGATGTAATCAGCCCTTTTCTTTAAACTTCTCACAAGTCAGAACTTTTCATAAAGCCCACAAAAAATTGGCTTATTTTCATTAATTTGCTTTGTGTTGCCATCATTCATTGTCTTCATTTTTAATTCAGTGATATTTTTAGCCAAAAGAAATGAGGTACAGTCAGTTTTCCTCAATCTGTCTCAGCTCTTACTCTTCATCTTCTGGGACCCAATTCATGTGATCCTTTAACAACTATTTATTTCACACCAAACTAGATATCTCCCTAAAGCCTACCAATCTACCCTCTAGGCATATTTCTTAAATAAAAGCACTAGATCTTTGTAAACCTAAAATTTGCATACTAAAGGAACAAATCAACTATCAAAAGACATAGTAGTATATAGCAGTTGCTCACCTCTAAGCACAGTTTAAAATTCATTTCAATTTATTATTTTTTAAAAGAAACAGCTATTGACTTTTTCCCTTTGCAAAATACAGTGTTTAATGGGCCTAGTTAAATTAGAGGTGATAGTGTGAAGGAAGTGTTTTAAATTGGTAAATTCTAAACCTTTTAATAAAAGTACATCAGTCAGAAGTTTTAATAAGACTCAGCAGGACAGAGAAGAATTAACAGTCTGTAGGAATCAAAAGGTGGTGATAGGCAATGATAACCTTAATCATTTGCACAGAGATTTATAATTTCATTGCTTAAAGGTTAATGAAATTATGTGGTATTTTGCCCACTCTTATCCAGTAAATGATTTCATGCCTTGGTTTGTATATATTTACCATGTGAATCCTTTAACAAGAGAAATGACTCCTTTTATCAGTTAATCTACTACATTTCTTACACATACACTCCCAGGTGCACATTATCATTTTCCATTCTAACCAATAACTGGGTGCTCTAAAATAAAACATAAGGTTCCCAAGAGCATCTCAGGAAAACAAACTAACTCACAATCAGTTATTGGTTTCCCCAAAATATTCTTGCTAATCCTTCTTTCTTTTCTTCCTTTATTTTTTTTCATTTCTTCCTTTCATTTTCTTTCCTTTCTTTCTTTGCTTCTCTCTGTCTTCCTTTTTGTCTGCTGTCTTCCTTTCTTCCTTTCTCACTTTCTTCCAGAGGAAGTTTATTTTTCTAATATAAACTAGAGATTATCTAGCTTGTATAGTATTTACTGTGTGACTGCAAAGTACTTAGC